TAGAATTGTTAAAGCAAGAATCAGAATTATAAATATTTGGCTAAATTAAACTTTCTATTAAGTCAAAATTGCTCAATTATATTACTATTAGCCAGTCGGTCAACCGGTCGGTTAAATCAGTCAGTTAAAATGGTCAGTCAAAGGCCTTTGATCGACTGTTGATCGACCATAACTGACCGCAATTTCCGTCAATACCAAATCACTAATATTACTAAATTGGAAGATAGTAGAACCTTCTTTTTTATTGTAAATATTGTTAATCAAGCATATATTGGTGATTAAATCAGGATTTAATGAACTTTCGTATTACAGATTTCTTCATCATGTCATGTAAATTTACTTAACAAATATGAAGAAACTATATTTATACGAAGTTAGCATTCTGCAGTTTGTCAACCAGACAAACAAAATATTGCAAGTTTCTTTGGAGATGTTTGAAATAGTAATGATGCTGTGTCATCTTGTATGTTGCAGATTTATAAGATTTATAACATTTTTTACAATAAAAATAGGTTATAAATGACATTGATTTACTTCATTCAAAGTTTTAAAGAATGTGGAGAAGATTTTGTGATCAAGTAATTTATTCAGATAATGAAAGGTACCTGTTTGAAATAACACAAGCTGTCACTCATGCATTGTAGATAATTCTTTATTTCAATCTTATTGTCATTTCCTCTACTAACTTCCTGTTTAATCTATTCTTAAAGTTACGAGAGAATGCATATGTACTGATTCATTCAGAGAAAATTAATAACGAGAATACAGTTATGCACAAATATAATACATTCACAATATCTTCAAAGAAACTCAAATTACAATATCATTTGGTAGGTAAATATTCATTTAGTTTGAAATATTTCACCTTTACTTATTCTTTAATAGGGCAAATGGTAAAGCTTATCATCAATTACTACCGCGCAACTTATGGACAAATAAAAGCAAAAAATCTGATATAGTTTTATATCAAATTATAGAAAATGGTGAATGTAAAGAGTTCTATTTCATCGAAGTTAAGCACCTTCCTATTGTAAGAAATAGCAACTTAAGCAGTTACAATATGTACAAAGTAACAATATTTTGTCAAGAGAGTTTAAACAAAAAGTTCCATTATGTGAAAGAAATACGGAAGAATCTTTTGGAGGCCACATTTGCAGTAAGTTTACTTTCTCACTTCTTAATGACTTCAATTTTTTTAACCATTTTTCATACATATAGGAACTTTGCTAGGAAAATTAGGCTTTGAAAATTTTTTTGACTAAAATTAAGACATTATTACATTTTAATCTAATAACATCGAAAACTAAAATGCAATAAAAATCAAAATTTTGTTAAAAAATTAAAAAATTAAAAAATTTCCAGAGTCTGATTGTCCTAACAATCTTCTC